GAGAGAGAGAGAGAGAGAGAGAGAGAGAGAGAGAGAGAGAGACCAGGCCACTGCCCACGCACTTGCTCCAATGCAGTGCGCATGCATTCGAAGTAGGCAGTAGTTTGGCCAACCTGAAACCGGCGGAACCAAAGCGCTGATGAGTCCGTGTACAGTGGAACCTTTGTGAGATTGTATTCATCAGGAGTTTGCGAAAGAAGTGTTTCTTTCTTTGTTTTTGCCATTTTGTTTTGCGGACAAAGCCACAAGAGGGTCATCTACTCGATAACTGATCGTTTTCATTAGCGCACTGGATCGACTGACTAGTGAGAATGATTTCTAATATTTTTTGTTTCAATTTTGCAGACATGTGGTACAACTGTTAACACCGGGAAGCATAATGGCAAAGTCAAATGGAAGGGAGGAAATTGAAAGGGTAGGTGTTTCCATATATGTTCTCCTCTTCTCCATGGTGCTGGGCCTGATGTCTAATGATTCTTGGACGTGCAATTTACATTTTCCCAGAGGCAAAGGCTGTGCAGAGAGGGGTATCTGTTTGTCCTGAAACCAGAACTGGGCAAAACCCCTCGGAGGTTCCTTGGCATCACCGAGTCATGACTCGTGTTCCTTCTCTTAGCCCGAAAACACTTTGTTCCTAGTCTTTTGTGCACATTCCTTCGAATCGATTCCATTTGTAATCTTTCGTGAGCATGCCTCCCAACCTTCTGAGCCTTCTGAACTCTCCTTCCTAAATCTAAAATAAACAACAAGGTAGATTTATTTTCTGTTTATATGTATATTCTTTCATTCTCTATTACATTAATTATTACATAATGCCTTCTGCGAACATGCGTCTGTCGGACCTTTGCATGCCATCATCGCTGGTGGCCCTGTGCTTCCCACTTGTTTGACTTCTCCCTTGTGATCTATGCCTGTCCTCTGGCATCATTTGCCAGCCTTCACCTGTGCCGTCTCCATATCATCCATCGGGGTCGATGGACCTCCAGTGTCAAAACCCCCCTTCTCTCTCTCTCTCTCTCTCTCTCTCTCTCTCTCTCTCTCTCTCTCTCTCTCTCTCTCTCTCTCTCTCTCTCTCTCTCTCTCTCTCTCT